GATAGATAGATAGATAGATAGATAGATAGATAGATAGATAGATAGATAGATAGATAGATAGATAGATAGATAGATATTGAAAGCGATATTGAAAGCTGCTCCAGATAAAATCCCATCATTAATTTGAATATGCTGAATATGTTTTTAAAAAACCAATAGCTAAAATGCTTAAAAGTCGCTACCCGTTGGCAGTGGTGGATCTCTTCACTTTGGGCAGCAATGGATCAAGGAGCTGCCCTAGCAGTTATCTGACAGCTTCACATTTTTTTTTTTTTTTTTTTTTTTTTATTTAGATCCTTGCCAGAGCTTTTTCACAGCATCACAGTGGATAAAAAATGATTACTTGTTGAATTTAGTTACAGGAAGTTACCAAATGGATGAAAAGGAAATGCAACTTCTCAAGAGTTTCTATTCATGCCAGAACTCAGTGATCAGACTCGACTCGACTGTCTTGATAAATCCAAAGCTTGCACCCATCTCCGACATGCAGCTCAATAGTCACATTTAAGCATGTCTCTCTGTTCCCGAAAGATCAAGACACATCTGTAATGTTGCTCTAAATAGGAAGAGCGATGAATGGGATATGGGGTGCAAGTAATATCAGAACGCATTTCAGGAATGATGTGCAGGCAAAGAGTGTCGGTCCCTTGAGCGACAATCCTCAACTCAATCTCACCAAGGACAAAATGTTTCTGCACAAGGCCTTAGAATTTCCCGCACCCTTCCAAAACAACACGTTAAAGTGCCTTAAACATGAAAACTATCATTAGAAACCATATCAACACTCTAAACATGAACTACACAATCATTGCATCCAGTAATCAATTCGTAATTATGACACAGTCATCTAATATTTGAAGCTACAAAACAATTACAGAGTGATTCAAACTTTGACCTTCAGCTTGGAATAGTCCAAAGTCGAAGCTCTGCCAGTGAATGGTAACAATATCATGACATCATGAAATAATGATTGAAAAAGTCACATTCTGAGAGTAGAATATGTTGCAACGTTAAAGAAAGCCAGACTTTGGAGATGAAGCTTCACACTAGAACGACTACAATGAAGAAAACATATTGGAAAAATGGTGTGTGTGTGTGTGTGTGTGTGTAGCAAATGAGTTAAGGTTAACAGGGGAATACAGAGGATCTGTCCAAAAGATGAAGTTTCTGTTTGACTTTCTTGTCTGGTAAATTTGCAGCTCACATGTTTCAAGCAAAAATGCATTTTACTTTTCCTCTTTCTAGGATGATCAAGTGGTGCTGCAGTGCACTGCGTCCATTCTCAAGGAGCAGATCAAACTCTGTCTGTCATGTGAAGGGTTTGGGAATCGGCTGTGTTTCCTGGAGACCACATCAAATGCTCAGGTACACCGCAGACACAAGATTCATTGCTTTCTGATTCGCTGTTCCCTCTGACTGTCACCGCTCACTGGTTATGTTTTTTTTTCTCAGAATGTCCCACCAGACCTTGCAATTTGCTGTTTCATTTTGGAGCAGTCTTTGTCCGTGCGAGCATTGCAAGAGATGCTGTCTAACTCCTCTGTGGATGAGGTACTGCACAATCAACCATAGTTTTAAAATGCAATTCCCTTTAATTGGCGTGCATATGCTTAATAAGCAACGCTTACTCACTTAAGTTAAATGTATCGTTTCTGTTTTACCCATCAAATCCTGAACCTGATGACTGGAGGCGGTTGATTTGGACAAATGGGTAAGTGCCGCCTTTCGGGACATATCTCGTAGCACTTTCATTGGCATATTTTATTTTGTTACTCTGATAATGTATTTACTTTGACCCTCAATCACTGCGTGGCAACACAATTATAAAGACGCAGCTGTTTTTAAGTCTCTGCATAAACGTGCTATGAACTCATCAGCCTCCTTTTCTCATTTTCTTCAGTCATCACAAGGTGGAGGTAGTCGAACTCTTCTGTATGGACACGCCATTCTCCTGAAACACACTCACTCCAACATGGTGAGCACAGTGTATTCATTCTGCTTGCCTACACTTAACAGCAGGTAGGCATCATAATACTATGGCATTTCACCTCATTTAGTTTATGTAGTGCCAATTAGCAACACATACCATGTCAAGACAAAAAAGCATAATTCATATCCAAATGACATCTGATTCAGATGAAATAAATCAAATTAATGTTAATGCAGTACTACTGAAGTCATACTCAAACCGTATCACCTGTGATCCAGTTAAATCAAGAATACAGAACAGCAAATTACTTCCACTTTGGAGAGATTTGTGTTTAAATCCAACTGATAGCATTTAATTGTTATTAAATGGAATCCACGTTATTCCACATTCTTAATTTGTTGTCTCGTATTTACACCATAGTACTTGAGCTGTCTGACTACATCTCGGTCGTTGACTGACAAGCTGGCCTTCGATGTGGGCTTGCAGGAAGACGCCACAGGTGACTTTACTACTAAGCGTGAACAACACACATATGATTTGTAGGGGGGAGAAAATATTCAATTTATGTGTTGCAGGAGAGGCCTGCTGGTGGACCATACATCCAGCCTCCAAGCAAAGATCAGAGGGTGAAAAGGTCAGGGTGGGAGATGACCTCATTCTTGTCAGTGTTTCTTCAGAGAGATACCTGGTAATTATAATTGCATTACTATTAAATGATGCTTTTTTTGATAATGAATGTTACTAATTTTAAAAACCTTGCTATGTCCAGCACCTTTCCTATGCAAGTGGTGACCTAATGGTAGATGCATCCTTCATGCAAACACTCTGGACCATGACTCCTGTGATGTCTGGCTGTGAGCTCGCCGAAGGTCTGCAGTTCCCCCAAAATTAGTTCTGCTCCAGGAGACTGACATTCTGTTATAAAAAGAAACTGTCGTCTTCCAGGTTTTCTGATCGGAGGATATGTGCTCAGACTCTTTCACGGTCATATGGACGAGTGTCTGGCCATCCCATGTGCAGATCAGGGGGATGACCAACGCAGGTGGCTGTTGCCTTGTTTTGTTAGATCTTTCCCCCTCCCCCCCCTACCTTGTTGGGAATTTAATCAGCTTGTCAGTTCACCATCTGGAAATGTCCAAATTGATCGGAATATTATTCTCCATATCCCAGAGTTGCCCATTATGAAGGTGGTGCCGTTTGCAGTCATGCTCGATCCTTATGGAGACTGGAGCCACTGCGAATCGGGTGGGTATCTTCCCCGTTCTTTCTTTCCAACATTAACTGGAAAGACTTATTTTGCGGACTTACTTTTGCATTTTTACAGGTGGAGTGGAGGCCACATCAAATGGGGACAGTCTTTCCGGGTACGCCACATAACAACGGGGCGATATTTGTTCCTCGACGAGGAGAAGGGACTTCTGTTGGTAGACCCAGAGAAAGCCAACTCCAAGATGTCTGCTTTCTGCTTCAGAATTTCTAAGGTCTTTGCTCGACCAGCTGTCGGGTTTATTTTAACTTGTCTAGATTAGAATTTAAGATGTACACATAAGGAAACAAAACTTTTTTTTTTTTTTTTTCCATTTAAAGGAAAAAATTGAAGTGGCGCAGAAGCGGGATGTGGAAGGCATGGGGATACCGGAGATTAAGTACGGGGAGTCTATGTGTTTTGTACAGCACGTTTCGTCTGGCCTTTGGCTCACATATGCTGCTGTCGATGCCAAATCTGCTCGTCTAGGACCTCTGAAAAGAAAGGTAAAACATGTCAAGTTTGGGGGGCTAAATGTAAGAGTTTCTAAAAGTGGTTTTGAAGCAGTGTACAAGATTTAGATATTTTTGTTATGTTTCTCCATATTTGAGTCAAATGTGATTTCGATATTCTAAATTGTGTTCCCACTGGGACTGACTTCCACTCACTTTTCTTACGTTTATTAACATTTTAAATATTCCTGAGAACATTCATACTATTCCATGTTTTTCCACATTTTGTCACGTTTTAACCACAAAATCTGCGTGTTTTTAGGGATTGTCGGTAAAATAAAAAGTAGCAAATAAGGATGAAGTATAAAAAAAAATGTTAAAAGATTTCAGCTGAATCAGTAAAGCTTAGTGGAGTTGACGAGAAGATGAATGGAACTAAATGTAGGACAATCCTGGAAGAACTTGAGACTGGGGAGTGAGTTCACCATCCAGCAGGACAATAACCTGAAAGCATCCTTCATGCAAACACTCTGGACCATGACTCCTCGACTGCAACCAGTCGTAAATCCAATTGAGAATCAGTGGCAAGAATTTAAAATAGATTTTCACGGATGCTCTCCGTCCAGTTTGGCTGAGCTTGAGCTTCTTTTTCAAACCAGAATGTCAGTCTTTAGTTTTGAGAAGCTTGTAGAAAAATCACCTAAATGACTTAAAAGTGATGTGATGTGTTTACGTTTTGGGTTTTTGCCTGGTTTTAAGTGTCCGTGACTTTGTCTCTCAGGCCATACTGCATAAAGAAGGTCACATGGACGACGCGCTCACAGTTGCTCGATCTCAGACCGAAGAGTCTCAAGCTGCCAGGATGATATACAGCACAACAGGCCTCTTCAACCAGTTCATCAAGTAACTTCATTACTTCCCTTTCAGCCTTTATGAATGTGTTTCTTTATTATCCGGTGATGAGCATTTTCTTTTTTACCCTTTATGTTTGTGTCACGCCTCCAGAGGTTTGGATGCGTTGAGTGGGAAAAACAAATCTGCTAATCCGCCGTCTATGCCGATGGACGCGGTGGTGCTCTCACTGCAGGATCTCATCTTCTACTTCCGACCGCCTGAGGAGGAACTGGAGCACGAGGACAAGCAGTTCAAGCTTCGCTCCCTGAAGAACAGACAGAACCTTTTCCAGGAGGAGGTTGGCCAGCCTAATGAGGATTTAATCAGTGGAAATTAGCTGGAGACAGATTTAATGTCATTAAATGTCTTGTCTTATCATAGGGGATGATTACCCTGGTTCTGGACTGCATTGATCGGCTCAATGTGTACAACACTGCAGCCCACTTCTCAGAGTACGCTGGAGAGGAAGCTGCAGAGTCGTGGAAGGAGATCGTGAACTTACTGTATGAGCTTTTAGGTAGGTCCTGCACGTTACATTCGATAAACGTATTTTGGGATGATTTTGTTTCGTTCATTTTATTTCTTGCTGATCCGCTTTCCTGAAGCTTCTTTGATCAGAGGGAACCGCGCTAACTGTGCTCTTTTCTGTGACAACCTGGACTGGCTGGTCAGTAAGCTGGATCGTTTGGAGGCATCTTCAGGTATCAGTGGCAGAATAGTTTGGTTTGAGCTCATTCTTTATATAAAACATATAGAGAAATGAAAGCCGATGGTTTTATTTAGAAATTGTTAATCTTTTTTTTTATTATTATTATTTCTTGAATGACTCACAAACGTCTCTGAATACCTTGAAGTCTTTTCTAAAGCCTAAACTTCTGTATGTTCTCATTTACATGACAGGAATTCTGGAGGTGTTGTACTGTGTTCTGATTGAGAGTCCAGAAGTGTTGAATATTATTCAGGAGAATCACATTAAATCGATTATCTCTCTCCTTGACAAGCATGGGCGCAACCACAAGGTTTGTAAATTCAAAATATTTTGTTTAGACTGTTTCTAAGAGCAGTCGGTCTGTTGGCTGTGTTACTGACAGACCTCTAACAACCTGTTCTGTCTAGGTTTTGGATGTGCTGTGCTCCCTGTGTGTTTGCAATGGCGTGGCTGTGAGATCTAACCAGAATCTCATCACAGAGAACCTACTTCCAGGTCGTGACCTCCTTCTTCAAACGAACATTATTAACTATGTAACCAGGTGGGTAATTTCATGCAAGCGAATATCCCCCCCCCCGGCCCCCTGTCTCTGCAGAGTTCATCTGAATTGATTTTCCTTTTTCTAATACTTTAGCATGAGACCCAACATTTTCCTTGGAACTTGTGAAGGATCAACTCAGTATAAGAAGTGGTACTTTGAGGTGATGGTGGATCACGTGGAGCCGTTCATTACCGCCCAGGCGTGTCACCTGCGAGTGGGTTGGGCTCTGACGGAGGGCTACAGTCCTTACCCCGGTGGAGGGGAAGGATGGGGGGGTAACGGGGTCGGCGATGACCTCTACTCCTATGGCTTTGATGGGCTTCACCTGTGGTCAGGTAAAGCAAACAATCGCTTGACCATAAATAGTAAAACTGGGGTTTGTGTTCATGTTAATGGAAACAGCTGGAGTCTAAATTCTGACATTTAGAGCAAAGCTGAAAACGTTACAATCAAGTTTCAAGCAAGGGGAGAGGTAAACGTTGTCAGTTTCCACCAAGACTACAAAAACTGTGTGAGCACAACACAGCTGAACTGTGTCACACACAGATGAACCATTTAACACTCAGCCGGTTTGCCTTCAGCGGAAAAGTCTTGACTTTCTGCACTAATTATCTAAAGCAGATGTAACTCTTACATGCTTCCTCAGGTTCTTTTTTAGACATCTTACTAATATCTAAGATGGCTAATGTGTTTTCTTCCCTAAGTTACCACTTCAACACTGAAAATTGTTGCTATCTGAGTAACATGTTAGCATTTTGATATGGAACATTCACTGACAGGAAAGAAAATGCTGTAAGTAAATGCTGTAAGTTCTTAATATAGGCTAATCACCAACTGAGTGGGTTAAGCATAACATCTCCCTTTCCGTGAATTTGTTTCTTTTGTTTTTCATTGTGCATTTACTTGTAGGGCGCGTACCACGGCATGTTGCTTCTCCCAGCCAACACATTCTGGCAGCAGAGGACGTGGTCAGCTGCTGTTTGGATCTAAGTGTGCCGAGCATCTCCTTTCGCATCAACGGACACCCTGTGCAGGGAATGTTTGAGAACTTCAACCTCGACGGCCTCTTCTTTCCAGTTGTCAGCTTTTCTGCAGGCGTTAAGTACGGCACTTTGAAGCCTTTTTACTCTTTCAGTTTCGCTATCTGTCCTGTCCCACGGCTCAGTATTTTAAACAGCTAACGTTTGTTTCTTTGTTTCAAATACAAGGCTACGGTTTCTTCTTGGGGGCCGTCATGGGGATTTCAAGTTTCTTCCCCCTCCAGGCTATGCACCGTGTTACGAGGCAGTGCTGCCAAGGGACCGATTGCGGATCGAGCCCATCAAGGAATATAAACATGATTTTAATGATGTTCGCAACCTGCTCGGTCCAACCCAGTCCCTGTCTCACACGGCGTTCACTCCCTGTCCAGTGGACACAATTCAGGTAAATCCTGCAAAGCGTATGGTGTCGAGAATAAATTCTAGTTTTAGTCAAATATCTAGCTCATCTTTAGGAATTTTGCTAAAATTCCTAAAGATTTTTAGGAATCTTGTTGAGCATTTGTTTGCTTAAAATGCAGTTTTTTTAAGCAAAACTGCATTTTGCTTAAAATCACATTCATTTGGTTTTAGTCTCAGTCAATTAATTTATTTTCTTCTTTCAGATTGTACTTCCTCCCCATTTGGAGCGCATTCGAGAGAAACTCGCGGAAAACAGTCATGAGTTATGGGCCGTAAATCGCATTGAACAAGGGTGGACATTTGGACTGGTGAGTGTTTTCGGGATTTGACATTTTTTTTTATTTTAATTTTGTCGAGAAAACGTTGCTGGGAACAAAAAGCTATTTCTCCAAGCAAATGTTTGTGCTTTTCTCTTTCTAAAGTTTCGTGACGACAACAAGAAGATGCACCCCTGCCTGGTAGATTTCCAGAGTTTACCTGAGCCGGAGAAGAACTACAATTTAGCAATGTCAGGAGAGACACTGAAGTACGTAAAAGTTTAAATCAACAGTCCTTGGCACCTCTAAAGATAGCTCCTACTTAGTGTGGAGTAGCATAATCTATGATGTTAATTATACTGAAACCTGAACAAGAACAGAAGAGGAAATAGATGTGGAAATGTAACTCCATTACCAGACTTTGATATGTATTGTTGCCTCTAAAACAGGGGTGCCCAAAGTGCAACCAGGAGTATATTTGTGGAAGTTTGACATGAAAACTGTGTAGGACCTGTGTCTAATGTGTATTGTGTTTACTTTAATAGGACTCTGCTAGCTCTGGGCTGTCATGTGGGGATGGGAGACGAAAAAGCAGAGGAAAATCTGAAAAGGACCAAGCTCCCCAAAACGTGAGCTGCAACATGTTATACATGTGGCGTTTGAGTGTGCTACCATGTAATATTGTTTCATTTCAATGATAAATGCCACAGCTGTCTGAAAGATTCACTCACTCTTCATATCACAATGCATTGCTTGTTAGCTACATGCAAAGTAATGGATACAAGCCAGCTCCCTTGGATCTCAGTCATGTCAAACTGACTCCAAATCAAAACACTCTAGTGGAGAGACTGGCAGAAAATGGACACAACGTGTGGGCAAGAGACCGGGTTCGACAGGGCTGGACGTACAGTATTGTGCAGGTATCAACTTCTTTACGTGCAAAAATGCTGTGACAATGAGTAGTAAAAACGTTTCAGTGTTTACTGTTTAATTGAGTTGGTTTTAACTTCAGTTGGACTTTTTTCAAATAGGACATATTGAACAAGCGTAATCCCCGTCTGGTTCCCTACAACCTGCTGGATGAAAAGACAAAAAAGACCAACAGAGACACAGTTTGTGCAGCAGTTCGCACTCTTATCGGCTACGGCTACAACATAGAACCACCCGATCAGGAGAGTAGTAAGTTTGCACTGCTGTTTCAGCTACATGAATAGAAATCCTTCCATTTTGCCTTGTCTCCATGCTTTCTTGTTTATCAGAATTATTATTATTTTTTTTTTTTAACAAACTTTCTTTTGTGAACCTCTAAAGGCAGAATAAGCCCTATCAGTATTCCTTTAAATCCTGGTTGTAGCATGTTCTTTACTGCCACGTTTTTACTCTAGGCGGGCATGGACCAGGCAGCTCCCGGGGCGATAAAATCAGAGTGTTCAGAGCCGAGAAATCTTACGCCGTCACACAGGGGAAATGGTACTTTGAGTTTGAGGCTGTGACTGTTGGAGAGATGAGAGTGGGCTGGGCCCGGCCTTGTGTTCGTGCGGATACTGAACTTGGTGCTGACGAGTTGGCCTATGTCTTCAATGGCTTCAAGGTGGGATGCAGACTCGCTTTGGTTGTGAAAGTGGGATAGACCCTTTGTGATGCTAAATTCTCTTGGTCGACGTTGTTTTAGGCCCAACGTTGGCATATTGGAAATGAGCCATTTGGCCGCCAGTGGCAGTCTGGTGATGTGGTGGGCTGTATGATCGACCTCACAGAAATGAACATCATGTTCACGCTCAATGGAGAAATGCTGATCAGTGACTCAGGCTCAGAAATGGCTTTTAAGGACATTGAGATAGGGGAAGGTAAGTACAGATCCAAAACAGATCAGAAATAATCGAATAAATGGACACTGATGATCATGCTTTAAACATTTACAGGTTTCATACCCGTGTGCAGCCTGGGGCTGTCGCAGGTTGGTAGAATCAACCTGGGTCAAAATGTCAGTAGTCTTCGTTACTTTACCATCTGTGGCCTGCAAGAGGGATTCGAACCATTTGCTATCAACATGAAGCGAGACATTACCATGTGGTTCAGTAAAAGCCTTCCCCAGTTTATCACTGCTCCTACAGATCATCCACATATTGAGGTACTAATACAATGATTTTCTCAAATTATTTCTAAATATCAGTTTTCCACATCAAAATGCCACTTCTTCTTCTTTTCTCTAGATATCGCGTGTTGACGGGACAGTTGACACTCCCCCTTGTCTCAAAGTGACTCACAAGACATTTGGGTCTCAGAATGCCAACACCGACTTGCTGTTCTTCAGAGTCAGCATACCAATTGAATTTCACGAGACCTTTAAAGTCCCTGCGGGGACAACGCTCCTAACTCGGGCGCTGACCATTCCCGAAGACCAGGTTTTGGAGGTCGACCCAAACTCTGACTTTGAAATACTCAAGAAGTCAGCCACTCGCAAAGAACAGGAAGATGATAAAAAGGAACCCTCCGTGCCTAAAGAGACTCTGGCCATCAAAAATGGAGAGAACGAGAAAGATGCCTCTACTGAGAAAACCAAGAAGAAAGGGTATGTGGTTATTTAGTATTCTGAGACAGAGAGGACAATTTGATTGGCATGCAGCTGGGATGTTAATAAAATATAATTATAGCCAAAAGTTTTCAGGTCGAAAGAGGTTAATTTTCTCTAACATTTGATACTTTAGTTTGCTGAGGGAGAAAGAGAGCGTGATGGTGCAAGAGGAGAGGAGAAGGAAAAACACAAACTGGGGAACAGGCATAAGATATATGGCAATAAACAGTAATGGAGAAAAAACTATTTACACAAGAACAAGAAAGAATAAAAACAAGAAAGTAAAAAAAATACAAACACTGGAGAAACTTGAAAATCTAACAACCCTGAATCCTGACATAATTGCATTTCACATGATAATTTTTCATAGCAATCCAGACTTAATGCAAAATGCTATAAGAATCAAAACAGTTAAAGATTTCTGTCAGTCTCAACATTTGAACCAGCTTGTACTATACACGTAGTAACTGGTTTTGTCATTTACAGATTCCTTTTTAAGGCAAAGAAGGCTGCATTAATAACTCCACCCCCTGTCGTTCCCACTCTGCCTCGCTTAGTGGAAGATGTCGTACCAGATGACAGGGATGACATGGATATAATCCTGAACACCACAACTGTACGGCTATTACTCAATTTAGACTCTAAAATCTGAAATTGAAGGTTTATTTTGCAACAATCATGAATAATATGCATAAACCAATAAGCTTCTCATGTCCTTTTTCAGTATTATTACTCAGTGCGAATATTCGCAGGACAGGAACCAGGGGGCGTGTGGGTAGGCTGGGTCACACCAGACTATCACCAGTATGATCTTCACTTTGACCTCAGCAAAGTGAGAAACGTAACAGTAACTGTTGGGGACGACAGAGGAAACATTCACGACAGGTGGGTTTGTTTCCCTAAAAATGTAAAAAGCGTGATCCAAAACCCCTGAGTCTTCTTGGTTTGTCTGCCTCCTGCAGCATAAAGCGCAGCAATTGTTACATGGTGTGGGGGGGAGAGTTTGGCAACTCCCAGCAAACCCGCGTCAGTCAGGAGGACTTTGTGATTGGGTGCCTCGTTGATTTGGACACAGGACTCATGACTTTCACCGCCAACGGAAAAGAGATAAACACCTTCTACCAGGTTTGTGGGCTTCTGCCTCGGTACGCTGAAGTTCTCGTGAAGTCCCGGTCAGCTGCAGCATCATCTGCTTTCAGGTGGAGCCGAACACGAAGCTTTTCCCGGCCGTCTTCGTTCAGCCTTCCAACCAGAATGTGATTCAGTTTGAACTCGGCAAGCTCAAGGTAAACGTCCACGACCTACTCTGTTACCGAACCTTTATCCACACTGCAGCTGCACAGGATAAGAGGTTAACACCAGTCAACGTCTTACCTGAAGAAGATACCTCTCTTTTCGCCTTCAGTTTGTGTAAATCTATGTTACTATGCAAAACATTTATTAATAAGGTTTAAGCATTGCTTAAAGGAGGGGTATTATGTGCTTTCCACACACAGAGTTCTATTTTATACCACAATAAATTTTACCTTCAGTTGTTATGCTGCATATGTCAAACAGAACTTAATGAATAAATCCAAGCAGCACTCTGGGTACATTTTTGGATGAAGACATTGTAAGATGATTTAAACCCCCCAAAATTTTTATTTTGCATTCCCCCTCTGCTAAAAACATAAGGCAGTGTTGTGATCAATCTAATTGGTGTTTAACAGTTAGGATTAAAGGCAGCAGTCCTCTCTACAATAGAGCAATTTGGATGAAATAAGGAATAAGTTTGTATTATTCACTTGGCAACAAATGGCACTTTGAACTGCCTTGTTACTGAAATGATCCAGCTCTGATTCTTTTCCCTGCAGCAAAGACTTTCACACCTGAGAGAGCTGCAGTCCAGTGCACTCAGGTTTACCTTATGTTTTGGGGGTTCTTATGTTTAACCCGCATGGCTGGCGAATTTGGATTTCTACTCAATTAAGATGCAAAGAGAATGATCAACCAAAGGTCAGACTTGTGTCCAAATAAGTTTTCCTTACCAACGTTGTGATCGATCCTTCTCGTTTTGCCAGAACATCATGCCATTGTCGGCGGCCATGTTTCGGAGTGAACGCAAAAATCCAGTTCCGCAGTGCCCTCCCAGATTGGACGTCCAGATGCTAACCCCAGTGATCTGGAGTCGAATGCCCAACAACTTCCTGGCTCCAGAGACAGGCCGTGTCAGCGAAAGACTCGGCTGGATGGTGGAGTGTATGGAACCGCTCATTATGATGGCCCTTCACATCCCAGAGGAGAGTCGGTCAGAAATATTTCCCTCCGCATGCCAAAGAGAAAATATATATTTATTTAAGTTTTTTTCTAGTTAAACCTGACTCTGTGTTTTATTTAGGTGCATAGACATACTGGAACTGTCTGAACGAATGGACTTGCTAAAGTTCCACTATCACACTCTGAAGCTCTATGGCTCTGTGTGCGCTCTGGGCAACAACCGGGTGGCACACGCACTGTGCAGCCACGTGGACGAATCTCAGCTTTTCTACGCCATAGAGAGCACCTACCTGCCGGGACCGATGAGGAGCGGCTTTTACGACCTCCTCATCAGCATGCACCTTGAGTCCGCTAAGCGCAATCGCCTCGGAACGAATAAGGAATTCATAGTTCCGATGACGGACCACACGCGCAGCATCACTCTTTACACCGTGAAGTCTCACGCTCTGCCCGGGGTCGGCCTCACCACATGCCTCCGTCCAAAACTGCATTTCTCCTCCGTTGGGTTTGTGGGGATAGATCCCGATATCTACACTCTGAGTCCGACCATCCCCTTACAGGTGAGATTTTCTCGTTTCAATACCTTATGGAAACGCTCTAGAGAAAGAAATACATTAATTTGCTTGCATTTAAAGGTGTTAAAGACCAAGGCTCTGAACATGCTGATCGAAGCTGTCCAGGATGGAAGTCAAGCCATGAGAGACCCTGTGGGAGGCAGCGTTGAGTTTCACTTTGTTCCAATCCTGAAGCTCATCAGCACCCTCCTCATAATGGGTGTGTTTGACGATGAAGACGTCACGCACATCCTGAAAATGATTGAGCCCACAGTCTTTCATACTTCAAAATCAGAGGAGCCTTTGGAGGAGCCGTCAAAGGCGAACAAACAAGAGGAGCCATCAAAAGTCGCAGCGGTCAAAGAGGATGAGCAGGAGGTTGAGGCAGAAGAGGAAGAGGAGTTTGAAGACTATGGTTACGATGATGAGGAAGAAATAGAGGAAGAGGAAGAACTAGAGGAAACAGATTTAGGTGTGGCCCAAGGGGAAGCAGGAGAAATAGATTTCATAAATGGTGAGAAAGGAGCTGAGGAAACGGAGAAAGAGACGAAACCAGTGGAAACCTGTGGGGAGTCTAAGGAGGAACACCTCGAACAAGGACTTTTTCAGATGAAACTACCAGAGTCTGTAAAACTGCAGGTACAAACTAGTATTACTACTTTTTTCACCAAAAAGGTTTCTAAACAATGTTAGCAACTCATCTTGCTTTTGTTTTCTAGATGTGCACCCTGTTGCAGTACTTCTGTGACTGCGAGCTACGACACAGAGTGGAGGCCATTGCTGCTTTCTCGGATAAGTTCGTCACCCAGATACAGTCCAACCAGAGGCAGCGCTACAATGAGCTCATGATGGCCTTCACCATGTCGGCCGCAGAGACCGCACGAAAGACCCGTGAATTTCGCTCTCCGCCGCAGGAGCAAGTAAGAAAACCATATATGAACCTACAACTGCAACTTCCATCCCAAACAAATAGAAAATCAAGCAAATATGGATTAGGTTTTACTTTTTTAAATCAGATTTTTTGAAACCAGGTACCCACATACACTGTATAAAATGTTTTCCCACTGTCTGAAATCAAATCAGCCTGTTCAATATTTGAAAGTCTAGACTTATCTAACGTTAAAGGATGAGGGGAAAATGGTTGTCCTATTATTTAGATTTTGAAGTAAAAATATGATTGTGATTAGACGACATTAAATAATGTTTTGTTACATATTTTGCTGATCTCTTTCCAAAGACTTCCCATTTGCTTGTGCGCTGTTTGTGTAGGTCAACATGCTCATGAACTTTAAAAATTGCCCTGATGACGAAGAGTGTCCAGTTCCCGATGAAGTCCGTGAATCCTTGCTGGTTTTCCATAACGCTCTTCTGACACACTGTGGTCAGTTTTAATCTGCTATCTCCCAGTCGGACATGGATCCTTTAAATCTTTCCTCTTCGCGTGGCTAACAAGTAAAATGTTCAGTGCTTAATTTCCAAACTAAAATTTGCAGGTGTTCATATCGATGAGGCAGAACAGGAGGAGGAGGTGGACAATTCTCTTCGCGGGCGCCTGCTTCGTTTGCTGGAAAGGGTGAAAAAGTTTCGGCAGAAAAAAGTGGAGGTGGAGCTTGAGCCGCAGGAAGATAAAAAACCAAGTGAGCTGTGTCACTCCGCTCTGCCACGCATGACGTTACAACACGGATATATACCTTTTTGTTCAGGCAGCTGTGACTTGAAGGAGAATCTCCCATTTAATCTTTGAAATTTTTTTTTGTCCTTGTTGTATGTTCGCCTTTCCCGATTCTACCAGGCACACTGCAGGAGCTCATTTCCCACACGATGATCCACTGGGCCCAGGAGTCATTCATCCAAAACCCGGAGCTAGTGCGCATGATGTTCAGCCTCCTTCACAGGCAGTATGACGGACTCGGTGAACTGATGCGAGCCCTTCCCAAGGCTTACACCATCAACGAGGTGTCGATACAGGACACCATGGATCTCCTGGAGTGCTTGGGTCAGATCCGCTCCCTGCTTATCGTGCAGATGGGTCCAGAGGAGGAGAGGCTCATAATTCAAAGCATTGGGTATGTGGATAAAGGTTTTGATTGTGGTTTTTGCCATTGGTTAAAACTGAAGGTGACAAGACATTTATCCAATCATTTTCTGCTCCTTAGAAACATCATGAGTAACAGGGTTTTCTACCAGCACCCCAACTTGATGCGTGCTCTGGGGATGCATGAGACTGTCATGGAGGTTATGGTTAACGTGCTAGGTGGTGGAGACTCAAAGGTATTCATTTTCATCGTCTTTGTTTGGGTTAAATACCGACGGGACTCGAGGCTAAAAAAGTAACATTTTGTGGGATATGTGAAAGTAAAAACCATAACCTTAAATATCCTTAAGCTCAACTTGATCACGCCATCTTTCAACAGGAAATCCGCTTCCCTCGAGTGGTGACAAACTGTTGCCGTTTCCTCTGCTACTTCTGCCGCATCAGTCGCCAGAATCAGCGTTCCATGTTTGATCATCTCAGCTACCTTCTGCAGAACAGCGGCATTGGCCTTGGTGACTGTTTCACTGTTCACTTCTACAACTCTTGCTGCTGAAGCCGAGCTGAACATGGTGTGCTGTTTGTTCAGGAATGCGCGGCTCGACCCCGTTGGATGTGGCCGCGGCGTCTTGCATCGACAACAACGAGCTGGCACTGGCTCTCCAGGAGCAGGATTTAGAAATGGTAAAATATTGCTGTGACACCCTAAACAGTAGTAGATTCACTTTGCTTAGCTGTCAATGCTGACATTTTTGTAGGTGGTGAAATACTTGGCTGGGTGTGGGCTTCAGAGCTGCCCCATGCTGCTGGCTAAAGGCTACCCCGACATCGGTTGGAATCCCTGCGGTGGAGAGAAATACCTCGACTTTCTTCGTTTTGCTGTTTTTGTCAATGGTAATTTAACAAATATTTAAATTCTGAAATTGAACTTAAAGGCACCCTCGCCTTCTCCTTTTGTTGTGTGACAATAACAAGACGTAAGATGACTTTCATTCCTCTAGGAGAGAGCGTGGAAGAGAATGCCAACGTTGTTGTGCGTCTTCTCATTCGAAGACCCGAGTGCTTCGGTCCGGCTTTGAGAGGCGAGGGTGGTAACGGTCTGCTGGCTGGTGTGGAGGAAGCCATCAAAATATCAGAGGACCCCGCGAGAGACGGTCCCAGCATAAAAAAAGACAGACGTTTTCCCATGTAAGAGGTCTCAGCGTTGGTTCAGAAAGAACTCTGTCCTTCTCACTTTGAGTTAAAGAACAAATTACAAAATGTATTCCTTTATTCCTGGAAGGTTTGGAGGAGAAGAGCAGCAGGAGGAGAATCGTGTGCACCTCGGAAATGCCATCATGTCCTTCTATTCTGCTCTCATTGACCTACTGGGACGATGTGCTCCAGAGATGCATGTAAGATGAGCAGAATCACAGCATTCATCCTGGATTTATATAACACATTGGATATAGCAGTAAACAAAATATGTTCTTTACAGTTGATTCAAGCTGGAAAGGGTGAAGCCCTTCGGATCAGGGCAATTCTGAGGTCCCTGGTTCCTATTGAGGATCTCGTGGGAGTCATCAGTCTTCCTGTTCAGATTCCTGCTTTGGGGAAAGGTAAAATGTTAAAACACGACATTAAAAGAAGCACGCTGCTAATTCGTTTAACAGAGCGATTCTGTTAAGTGAATTAGCTGTATACTGTCACTTACTGTATTTTCTAAAAACACATAAATATCATGCATAGTCATGCATAACGCACCACTAATTAAATGCGAGTGCAGTCAGACTTTGGTGTGGACGGTTTCTGACCCCAAAGCGACCTGCATTTGCATTAGAGGAACATAGGCGTCAAACAGCAGCGCATTGTTAGAGGAAGTAATCATGGATGGAGCCATTTATGCATCATTTTTAAAGTTTATTCAGCAAGGGCAGATGACAGCATCGTCACACAATCACAACGAGACAGAGGATGATAATAAAAAGAAAGCACCAATAATAGCAGTGGTATTTTGTAGAGCGCTGACTGGGAAGTCTTTGCGGGTGTGTAGTCAGACCAGGAGTGATAAGATTTCGATGTGATTCTCTTCAGTGACACAGACTTCTTCCAGAAGTTCATATTTATAATTTCAGCATTTGTTTACATCCTGATTTACAATGTCTGGCTTTATCTGGTGCACAGTTATGATGCATGAATCAGGTAAATGATTTAAAATGACCATTCAGACTGCAGGAAAAATAGCAAAAGTCATGAAAACCCATTTACTTATTTTAATGCCATTAACAAACCGGAACTGTAGTCGTTTTCTATCACTTCTAGATTAATGAGTTGTTTTATTTCACTGTTTTCATAACTTGTTTTTTTGTCGGTGTATCATACAGCCATTTGAATTAAACATGCTTTATGCTTTTCTCAGACAATAGCATCATAGAGCCAAAGATGTCCGCCAGTTTTGTGCCAGACCACAAGGCCCCCATGGTGTTGTTCCTGGACAGAGTTTATGGGATTGACAACCAGGATTTCCTGCTGCATGTGCTGGAGGTGGGCTTCTTACCTGACATGAGGGCGGCAGCCTCTCTGGACACAGTGAGTCAGAAACGTCTTCTGGAATCGGTACCCAGTGTGGATCCCAGGTAACAGCTGGGATTTATTTCCAACAGGCCGCGTTCAGCACAACAGAGATGGCTCTCGCTTTGAACCGCTATCTGTGTACTGCCGTGCTGCCTCTCATCACCAAGTGTGCGCCGCTGTTTGCCGGCAGTGACCACCGAGCCATAATGATAGACTCCATGTTGCACACGATCTACAGGCTGTCTCGAGGGCGAGCCTTTACGAAGGCTCAGAGAGACATCATAGAGGAGTGCCTCATGGCTTTGTGCAAGTAAGCTAACACCTCAAACAAAATATAGCTGTTCTCTCGTTCATCTAACATTGTTAGGTTTGTTCCTGAAGGAGGCTTTGTTTGTGTTGCCTTCAGAAATCTGCGCCCGGCCATGCTTCAGCACCTGCTGAGACGCCTGGTGTTTGACGTGCCCATTCTAAATGAGTATGCCAAACGACCACTGAAGGTGTGAAGACGTTTGATTATTTTCTTGATAAAAAAAAAAAAAAGTTGAGTTTTAAATTGTTTTTTTTTTTTTGTTTGTTTTCATTTTTCACTTTTATTGTCTTGGATCTGCAGCTACTGACCAGCCACTATGAGCGTTGTTGGAAATATTACTGCCTCCCAAATGGCTGGGCTAATTTTGGAGTTGCCTCAGAGGAAGAGCTGCATTTGACTCGCAAACTTTTCTGGGGTATTTTTGAATCATTGGCCCACAAGGTGAGCTCCCAGAAACACGGTGGAACTGCCAAAATGTGAACTTCTTCAGGCTTTCTCATGTTACACAGCACAAACTGGGATTAGGGGCTCTGATATGAGAAAAAAGTTAAAAAGTTGTTGATGTACAAATACTCAAATGCATTAGCTGGCAAGTGTCTCTTAATACTGTAACATATTGTCATTAATGATTCCAGAAATTTGATGCTGAAATCTTCAAGATCTCAATGCCCTGCCTCTGTGCCATTGCTGGAGCCATTCCTCCAGATTATGTGGACGCCAGCTACTCCTCCAAAACAGAGAAAAAGGCGTCGGTAGATGCAGAGGGAAACTTTGATCCTAAGCCAGTTGAGACCACAAAGTAAATATTTTCTGAATCTGTTTGATGGACACATCTTTCAGTTGTTTTAATACGATAGCTAAATTGTCTCTGATTTCTTGCCTCCAACAATAGCACCATTATCCCTGAAAGACTGGATCCCTTTATCAACAGATATGCTGAATACACCCATGATAAATGGGCCTTTGAAAAGGCAAGATATGTTCCTATCAGCTTGCTTACTTTCCATTATGTCCATTATACCCATTCAGAATCAACACAATACATTTCTTTAATTGTATCTGATATTATAACCATAGAAATCAACTCTCCTTCTCACAATAAGTGATGCAGTTTGTCTTCTGTTTTGCAGATTCAAAATAACTGGTCATATGGAGAGGTGTTGGATGAGAATGCAAAGACCCATCCCATGCTCAGACCATACAAAACCTTCTCAGAGAAGGTAAGCTGTCCATTGCAGGTCGTTTCATATCGCTCATTCTCCTCTTCATGTGAGGCTGATTTTTATTTATTTATTTATTGCAAAGGACAAAGAGATCTACCGCTGGCCGATCAAAGAGTCGATAAAAGCCATGCTGGCATGGGAATGGAACATAGAAAAAGCTAGAGAGGAAGAGGAGTCAGAGAAGAAAAAGGCAGCTTCTAGAAAAATTTCCCAGACTGCTCAGGTTTGAAGGTCTTTTATGTCTCGACGCTTTATGTTGCATTGCTACTTGTATGTTATAATATTATCGTTCTGTTACAGGCAACTTATGACCCGAGCCATGGCTACAGTCCACAGCCGATTGACGTCTCGCACATGGCTCTTTCAAGAGATCTGCAGGTATGGCAGTGAACGTTCAACATCTGCCTTTATCTCAATTTATAGTCAATATTAACAGCTTACATTTGAACACAGTCAATGGCGGAACAACTGGCCGAAAATTATCACAACACCTGGGGACGAAAGAAAAAGTTAGAGCTCCAAGCAAAAGGTAAAAAATAAAAACTATATATCTGCTGCTGTGCTGTATTTTAATATTGAAGATGGAGCTTTTCCTGATTTCTCTTTGGTTGTGGGATTGTTTGTGTAGGAGGCGGGACACATCCTCTGCTGGTGCCTTATGACACTCTGACAGCGAAGGAAAAGGCCAGAGACCGAGAGAAGGCTTACGAGTTGCTCAAGTTCCTGCAACTTAATGGATATGCTGTCACAAGGTAAAAAGCAAAAAAAAAAAAACTCTGGAGTGCTGGTTATAAGGAGCAGGGAATTACATTTTTTACATGAGTTTTTGTTTTTTATGTTCTGTGATTTAATTGTGCAGTCCTAATAGATCTAGTGTTTTCTCCTTTTTTTATATCAAGCTTTGGTAATAGGAAATGTAAGCAAATTAAATACTTGTTTAAATCTACAAATATCAGAAACAACATAAATACTGGTTTGCTCTCTTGGTAAAAATAGATGAATGGGTAGAAAGTTGTTGTTTTTTTTCCACAACAGGACAACTCACAAACTTTTTGTAATAGTCCACAAATTGCAGCATACAGAGGAAGATGTTTGAATTTTTCACTCTTGAAAGGTAGCACAGGTCAAACTGTTTCAGTGTGATATTATCCTCTTTTAGTAAAATCCAATGGCTTGGCTGGGGAAAGCGAAGGAAATAGTAAGGCTTTAGCCAAAACTTCATAACTTTATTTTTTCTATTAAAGAACTTTTAGACATCATAATCCTTTTATATGATATTTATGCATTGATCTAAGGCAAGCGTGTTCACATAAAACAAAGAAAAAGTGTAAATATGTCGCCTCTTTCTGTGTTCAGAGGCCTGAAAGACATGGAGTCGGAGATATCGTCCATTGAAAAGAGATTTGCTTACGGCTTCCTGCAGAAGCTGCTGAAATGGATGGAAATAGCCCAGGAGTTCATTGCTCATCTCGGTACTGTGGGGAAAAAATGCAAAAGAAATGTCTTGATGTCACATGTTAAAAATCTTTGAGGCACTAAGAATAAACCAAGTCTAGATTTGCTAAGCCAGTGCTAATGCGTTATTGCCATATTTTGGAATACGTTTTGCAGAGGCTGTGGTGAGCAGTGGGCGAGTAGAAAAGTCTCCTCATGAGCAAGAAATCAAATTCTTTGCTAAGGTAAAACCTGTGAGAAAATCATTTTAAAGGCTAAATCTCTTTGTGGTACTAATCTAAAAAAAAAAACAAAACACTTTTGTAGATACTGATGCCTTTAATCAACCAGTACTTCAAAAATCACTGCCTCTACTTCTTATCAACGCCTGCAAAAGTCCTGGGCAGTGGCGGCCATTCTTCTAATAAGGAGAAGGAGATGATTGCGAGGTAAGTTCTCCCATTGTTCTAGTGTGCAAATACTTGCTTTGAATTCTTCTTTCTAATCTCATTTCTTTATTCATGTCCTTTTTCTTGGATTTCTCTCTCCCTTTACTTTTTTTTCTGCTTGTTATAGTATCTTCTGTAAAATGGCTGCTTTGGTGAGGCACAGAGTTTCTCTCTTTGGTAAGATTTCTCATTAGATTATTTCCGAGTCTTTTGGTTCCCTCTGACTGAGGAGACCTCCTTTTACTCTAACCTGGATAACTTCAACTAAATGCTTGCCCCGTTAGTTTGTATCAAAATTTTATAATACAACCTCCGTTTGCTTCTGTAGGAACGGATGCTTCTGCGATAGTTAACTGTCTTCACATATTGGCCCGGTCATTGGATGCAAGGTTGGCTGCTTCTTAAAACATCTTTCAAGATGAATGTGTGTTTATTCTTACTCTTTGAAATTTCTGTTGTGACATGTTCTTACTGTGTTTCTTTTTTTTTTTTTTTAGGACTGTGATGAAATCAGGTCCTGAGATTGTGAAAGCAGGCTTGCGGTCATTCTTCGAGAGTGCGGCCGATGATGTGGAGAAGATGGTGGAGAACCTCAAACTGGGCAAAGTATCCAAAGGCAATCAGGTACATAATGTTTGAAACAGATTATGCAAAGAAATTAAACACTGGAATTAAATCCAAATTCAAAATGCCATCTGCCTCGTCCACGATAGCAAGTGAAAGGCGTTTCCCAGAATATCAACTACACAACCATCGCCCTGCTGCCTGTGCTTACCTCCCTGTTTGATCACGTCGCTCAGCATCTCTTCGGAGACGATGTCATGCGTGAGTTGTTTCCTCAAATTTCTGTTTATTTCTTTGCCTTTAGTGTATTATTTGACCCGTCTCTGTTTCTGGTTACCTGCACACAGTGGATGATCTGCAGATTTCCTGTTATAGAATCATGTGTAGCATCTACTCAGTTGGGACGGTCAAGAACCCACATGTCGAGAGGTAACTCAAACTTTGCTCACGCAGGTGCTGTAGTAATAAAGAATACAGCACTCTTTAGCATTTCCTGCACTGTGAATCGACTAGGAATTCTGGGAACTTGAGAGTAGGGAAGCATGAATCTGTTGGCTCCAAGTTATCTTTTTTGTAAACAGGCAAAGACCAGCTTTTGGGGAATGTCTGGCTCATCTTGCTGCTGCAATGCCAGTGGCCTACTTAGAGCCTCATCTAAATGAATTCAACGCTTTCTCTGTGTACACCACAAAGACACCAAGAGAGAGAGCTAGTGAGTTTAAAACCATTGTGTAATCCTGCTCAGTACAGCCTTGATCCTGAGTTTTCTTCCATCCCTTCTTGTGCAAAGTCCTGGGTCTTCCCAATGCGGTTCAAGAGTTATGTCCTGACATCCCACCGCTGGACCTTCTGTTGAAGGAGATTGGAGACTTGGCAGAGTCGGGGGCCCGCTACACTGAGATGCCTCACGTCATTGAAATCACTCTGCCTATGCTGTGCAACTACCTGCCACGGTGGTGGGAGAGAGGACCTGAAAACTTTCCTGAGATGGAGGGTCAACTCTGCACCGAGGTCACTTCAGAACATCTGAATCAACTTCTGGGCAGCATCATGAAAATTGTAGTCAACAATCTGGGTATTGATGAAGCCTCCTGGATGAAGAGGTTGGCCGGTGAGCAATGGGTAGCTTGCTGCAAAGCCATGTATTCCTGAGTTAGTCTTCTTGCTCAAATGAAATGGCACAATTTGTTTTCTCTGCTAGTGTTTTCGCAGCCCATCGTGAGCAGGGCAAAGCCAGAAATGCTGAAATCCCACTTCATTCCAACGATGGAAAAGTTGAAGAAGCGCACGTCAAAGGTGGTGGCTGAAGAGGACCATTTGCGGATGGAGGGGAAATCAGAGGGGGACGAGGAAGATGGGACGATACGCGATGAGTTTGCTGTGCTCTGCAGAGACTTGTATGCCCTCTATCCTCTGCTTATTCGCTACGTGGACAACAACAGGTGAAAGAAAATCACCGCCATCCTTTACAGCCTCTTAACCAGGGTACTTACTTATTCCACCTTGTCTTGTTTTGCTACAGAGCGAGGTGGCTGACCTGCCCTGATCCAGATGCAGAAGAACTTTTCCGGATGGTTGGAGAAGTCTTTATTTTCTGGTCCAAATCCCATGTGAGTTCGTTCATCTTGCCTTTGACAACAAATATCGGTTGGAAAGTTAACTTCCTTTATCTGGCGTTTCTTGCTCTCTTTGCTTTCCATTTTGTAGAACTTCAAGCGAGAAGAGCAGAACTTTGTTGTGATGAACGAGATCAATAACATGTCATTCCTCACTGCTGACAGCAAAAGCAAAATGAGCAAGGTGGGCGATTGCAGTCTTACTGTACTGCTAAATCTCATTTTAGGCATTTCTGTCACTGTTATTGGCATTGAACGTATACGTTTGTGTTTTTGTGTAGATGTCTTTTGTTCCTTTAGATTTTTTTGTTATACATCTATAACCATTTTCTGACATTTACTGTTGGTCAACAATAAGCTGTAGTAAAAGTATGGATGTTGAATTTTTGTGTGGTTTTCTTGTGATGATGTGAACATCAATCTTTTATTAGGAGAAAGTATAATTCATCATATCTTGATCCAAAAATGATGAAGCTGTTTTTTGCCTGATCTTGAGACATTTGCTTCGGGGAAAATGTTCTGCTTAATTTAATTTAACGAGACATCAATAATTTTCCACTTCAGCTGTGAACTTCACCACTGGGCGACAGATAAAGCAACAGATTATTTTGATATTGTCATCAATACAAAAAGTAGTTTATGATATTTAGAAACAAGTTTGGATTTGTAGCGTCCTGCACGATCTCCTTCTTCTGCATTTTATAGTTTTTTGATGCTCCTAAACAAAGCTGCAGTGAAATTTTCTGATAACGAAGAAATAATTTTGTTGCATCCAAATTAAACAGATTTTTTGCCTTCCGGTTTGTAGTTAAATGCCTGAATATCCTTTTTTACATGCGGTGCCACTTAAAGCTCCGTAGAAGTGCAAATACTATTTAAATTGTATATTTAATGGCGATACTGATCAACTAAACTAAATGGAAGACAATGACTTTAGATTTCTGCACTTAGTCATTTGGTGAGATTAAAAATGAAGCATTTTCCCAAAAGTAAATATTTCTTCATCATGAGTTGATGATTTTCTTATCACATGAAAACCATTCAAAGAGCAGACGGCTGTCCTTGGCGTGTGTAACAGCTTCTTAAAAAAAAAAAAAAAAACATTTTTATTTGGCACGTATTTAAAAATAAATATGTTTATAGTGTATATATCTGGTTTCGCTTCTGGTACATTTTTCATTAATCCCTGTCTGCAGGGCTCGGTGGAATGTGATGTAGTTTGCTGTAATTTCTTAAGGCTTGTATTTTAGTTCCCATTTTTCTTAAGAGTAGCAGTTGTGTTAACGATATTCTCTCTCTGGCTGTCCTCTGTGCTCTTCCTTTGGGTTGCGGCTGGGTTTCCAGGGCGGTGACACAGAGGTTAGACTTTTTTTCTGCACGAGCGCTGTGCTGACCGCATGGCACCTCACTTTTGGGGAAAATTTTCATCAACCCCTCCAGCACACTGGCACATCTAATAATCTGCATTCACGTGTTATCCATACACAAATAAATGTGCATACTGGTGCTTTTATTTAGACAGAGCTGATCCAAGATTGTGTGGGGCCATAAGCAGAATTTGATTTTGAGGGGGGCAATTTGATTTCACAGCCCTACATGGCCAGAGTTCATAGTAATAAAACATATTGAAGCTAAACAGATACGTTTTTTTCACTTTGTTAAATTTTCTACTCTAAGCCATTTGAAGACAAACAAATCCCACTAACCACGGCTGTTATGGTTTAATTAAAAAAATCAAATACTGTTTACCACTAATATGATTCCTTTATAAAAACATGTATGGATTGAATGCTTACGCTTTTGTGGTAACGTCTTCAAGCTCCATAAGCAATTTTAAAGAAAAAAATAAGAAAGAGATCAAAGTTATTTTGCTAAGTACTAAGTGTTCCCTGTATTGGTTAATTTGTAACTACAATATGTCCATACAATGTGACTTTAGCACAGACACAAGCAACTGAAATTATAAAACTAGCAACAGCAAACTTTTAGAGTTTGTTTCCTCTTAAATCCTCAATATGTTTAAATCAAGAAGAATTTAAAATCTTTGAATTTTATTTTGAAAAGTTAAGTAAAGCGAAATGTAATGTTTGAGATCTATTTTCTGGGTTTGAATTTCAGGGTTTTTCACCCTGGGGGGGTTTTACTAAGCAGCTTAGTTCACATATGCCTTGGGCCAGCTCTGCATTTGGTCATACTTACGGAAACACGCATAAACATGTGTATGGTTCATACAAAGAGACATGTCCAACTCTGCTTTAACTTGTGAACATATTTGCCCATGTAGAGAATTGGTGATAATTGGTCACAAGTTAAACATGCTGACATTCTCGGTGGATCCCAGGACAGACGGGCAGGCCTGTGGGCCGCTCCCAGTCCTGCCAGTGTGCGTGGAGGGGAGTCTGGAGGCGCTTGATGAAAGTAAACATCTGTAGAGATGGGCTCATGGCACCGGTCTTTACATGGATCCTGTTGAGGCCGTGAAAGAACAGTGCCATCATCCTCTCATCCTCTCACTGAGTTTGCCCTTTTATTTCATCATAGTTGAGTTGGAGACTTCTTGTTTGCCTTTTTTTTTTATTTGTTTATTTTTTATTTTCATTGATGGGTGGTTGAGCTGTATGTTTTTGTAATGTAGCTTTTTGCCTCTAGGGGACGATGTTAGTCTTCTCTGTGCTCTTTCTTTTCTCCTCCCTTAAAATGCCACAGCACATTTTGGCTCAGTTTCCTGTAGACTTATTAGTTTGCAGACTAATATGTGGTTTGAAGCTTAATGTCACTGAAGTAGGTTTTTCTCACACTTGTTGGGTTCCCCCTTAAAATTAAAATGGCCATGAACCTAACTAAAACATTAATTCACACTTATTTTATAAATTCCCTAAATTGTTTGCACCCTCTAAACCACTCCTATGTAACATAGATATATGTTTTACTTAATAGCTATTAGTAGTGGATATTACCTTAGTTGACAGAGACTGATTAATTGTTTAATGTGTCATGGAGCAAATTCTCTAAAGAGTGTGTGAAGTGAAGGAAATTCATTGAAATTTATTTTGCTTTTGATTTTCAGCATTTATGTGAAATTACGCCTAAAATTTGTCTTGTCTTAAATGAAAAACTTATATATGCACACATTAGCCAATGTAGCAATTTACTCTCTACACTGTAACTGCTTTAGATGCAACATTTATTGTCATCCATGGTAAAGATGTGTAAAAAGCATTAAAATGAATCTCTTATTCAGGTAGGATAGTCTTACACTGAAAAAAAATTATAATTTGAGTACATTTATACCTTGCCCTAATAAAGTTTTATTTTAAATCAACAGTGGTACAATTATTGACAAAGACTCATAAATGTAACTAAAGCATTTTTATATTTAACTTTTTTTTTTTTTAGGTAAACATAGTTTCCGGGAATCTTTAATTAGTGATCTGCAACTTTCTGTTTCTCCTGAAATGTGACTTGTTGCTGTCCTAGTGGCAAAAAAGGCTCACACAAAACAAAAAATACCACTGGTGCCAATACTTATTGCATCTTCAATTTTATTAAAAACTATTTTTTTCTTAACATTCTTCACTAGTTAAAAGCTCAGCCATCTAGCCAGATTGAATTCACATATTGTGTTGTTTTGCATCCTTCAAATGGGAGCAGTCTCTGCGTTTTGTTGTAGTTGTATTTTTGCTTCAAAGACGGATAACGTCAGTCTTTTTAAAGAGCATGTATTTTGAAGGATAAGTGTTCTCACCATGAAGTACTTTCACATGCAACACAGTAAACTCTCGCATCAATTTGTCCGCCTTGGAGGAATCCAGAAAGAGCAGCTAACAGAAGAACTGAACTTTTGCAAAAACAAAGTCGGAGTTTGAGGCATGTAAAGTGATAAAAGCCCCCAGCAGATGTTTGACAGTTTAACTGCATGCAGCAAATAGATTTAACCTTAAAAATAGTTTTATACTCCTTAACGCCGTCTGATATTTTAACTCTTAACAAACATAACAAGTAACAGTGTTCACAGAATGCTTACTGGTTCCTCACCTGAGTGGAATATAATTATTGCATGCTGTAATTGTAGTTTCTTTTGTTTTAATAAGACCCTTTTTTTCAGCCTTCCTTTTCCCCATGGCAGTGATGTCACATCCTTCCCTTTAATTTTCTCTAGATCTTCAGTTTATCAGTCTGAGCTAAAAGATTGTAGTTTGAAATTCATGCTCAAATGTAATATTTCAGCTCAGCATGATAGTTATATCTTTGCCAGAATCATTTATAATGTTAACTAGGCATTTCTGCTATTAATTGCACAACTTCCATGTTCTGCATTGCCTTGTAAAAGTAATCATTTCAAGTTTTGCTGAAGTGATCAAGGGATCGCTACAAACCTAAATGTATTTTATTGAAATGTTTGGTGAAAGAGTAGTATATGAGAGTAAAGTTAAAAGGACACAGCTTTGACTTTTTTAGTCATAAAAATGTGAGAACTCTGGTGTGAATTTCTATTCACTCACATTTGAGTGGTCCTCTGCAAAAGCGCAATGCCTCACCTTCAGAAGTCACCTACCTGTGTGTAATTTCCCTGCCAGCATCCCTAGGTGGGCCCCATGTGGGGCAAAGGAGGGCTGATATATGGGTTTGTCCGCGGGTTCCACGATGGCACCACATGGGTTTGCCCATGTAGGGCCACAGCCCACATGGGCCCTACACGGGCCCTATATGGTGGTGGCCCACATGGGTTTGTCCATGTAGGGCCCATGTGGGCTGTGGCCCTACATGGGCAAACCCATGTGGTGCCATCGTGGAACCCGCGGACAAACCCATATGGGACCCATATATCAGCCCTCCTTTCCCCCACGTGGGGCCCACTTAGGCATGCTGGCTGGGTTTGTTCTTTATATAAATCTGACTCTGCTGCATAGGCTGCAAAGAGACCCATAATGTCTGCATATGCCATATACAGATGATCTGTATCGAGTTTGCTGAAATTGAAAGAAGAGCGTGAACAAACGCTCCCATTAAAAGATACTGATGGATGTAGATACGATCAAGAGTGGATACTTTGTATTAGCAATTAGTTATGCTCAAAAACATGTTTTTCAGTCTCATGAATGCACTATAAATCAAAACTTACACACTCAATTAGATTCTGTAATACACACTAATCTAAAAAATATGTTATTGTTATTTTCTGCATTGTACATATCACTAATGAGAGCGCATATCCCAGGTGTCGCGCCTGTAAGATTTTACGGAATATTGTGAATGCTTTTGGTTTGTTGTCATTCCTGTCCTCAGGGTGGAGGCTCAGACACCGAGCGCACCAAGAAGAAGAAGCGTGGAGATCGCTACTCTGTTCAGACGTCACTCATTGTTGCTGCCTTGAAGAAGATGCTGCCCATTGGCCTCAACATGTGCTCCCCTGCCGATCAGGAGCTCATCAACTTGGCCAAAATCCGCTACTCTTTGGTAAGGTTTCTTCATTTTTTATAGTAAAGATTTGGGTTTGAAGATAGTTATTGATTGCTAATGAATGTTTGTTTCACTTAACAGAGAGACACAGATGAAGAAGTAAGAGAGTTCCTGCAGAACAACCTCCATCTTCAGGGCAAGGTGTAATATCTGACCCGTTAACACAGCAGGGTCAAGTTTTACACATGAGTCAAGGTTTTAGGTAATCAGAAAGATCACATCTCAGAAATGTTTGTGGCCTGTTTTTGTGTGAAAAGGTGGACAACCCCTCCATGCGCTGGCAGATGGCCCTTTACAAAGAGATGGCAGGAAAGGCTGAAGATGCTGATGCTCCAGTGAAAGTTGTCAAGAGAGTACAGGAGGTGTCTGCTGTCCTCTACCATCTTGAAGTGGTAAGCACAAGAGAACCGGTTATATGGCGAATGTAAATTATGCACCTCAACCGCAGGATAAGACGACAGGAAGGAACATTAGTAAGAAAAGTAAACACCAAAATGTTTCTGTCTCTGCAAGACGGAGCATCCTTTTAAATCCAAGAAAATGGTGTGGCACAAATTGCTGTCCAAGCAGAGACGCAGGGCTGTGGTGGCCTGCTTCAGAATGACGCCACTTTACAACATTGCAAGGTGAGAAAGCTACACACACCGTGGATATTTACTGAACGCCAACATTCAGTTATTTATGACTGCTAACATTCTTTCCAGGCACAGAGCTTCAAACATGTTCCTTGAGGGATACAAGCGCAACTGGATTCAGACGGAGGGTTGCTCATTTGAGGACAGGATGATAGACGATTTATCTGTGAGTAACATTTCCTTCATCTGGATCCAGATTTTCTCAGACGTTCTCTCACGTTCGTTTTCCTGTGACGTCTAGAAAGCGATGGAGCAGGAAGAAGCAGAGGAAGAAGAAGAGAAGGAAACCAAGCCAGATCCCCTTCACCAGCTTATTCTTCACTTCAGTCGAACAGCGCTGACAGAAAAGAGGTCAGGCAGGTCCAACCGGACTCTACGGTTTCTCGTATGAAGAGCGTTAAACCACAACTGTTGCAAAATGCTCTCGTGAGATTGTCGCCTCTTCTTTCAATTTCAGCAAACTCGATACAGATCATCTGTATATGGCATATGCAGACATTATGGCAAAGGTGCGTCCCTCACACGAGATCCCAGCTGCGGGATGTGATATTTGGCATCCTGTTTATCGAACGGATGAAATGACTTTTCACTCCGTCTTTATGTTAGAGTTGCCATATTGGTGAAGAAGAAGAAATGGGAGAGGAAATGATGGAACAATCTGAAGATGAGATGTCCTTTGAGGTGCGACAGTCAGAACTGGTAATGGGCGACCAGGGGCTAGGGACCAGGAACACGGCGGAGCGGTAGCTTTCGATGCATCGAGTGAACTCATCATTGGAGCATTTACGTCACAACCACATCTCCTTCTCTCTGTCCCGTCTTGTTGTCTTTACGTGCTTTTTGTCGGCTCTGCTTCATTCATTACTAGTTTCCTAACTCGGCAGTCACAAAGTTCCAATCCAGATCTCCATTTTTTTTTTTTTTTTTGGTTTCAAAAATTAAACATTAGATTTGATTTTACTGTAAAGCAGCATCTTAGGTAGTGTGATGTGGCGTGTACCATTTCAAAGAGTTTGTTAGTACATCTATTTTTTCATGGCCTAAACCTGGATTGGGTCTAAGAACAGTGTTGAGATAAAGTATTTTCTCCCTTTCAGGTTTCTTCTGTTGTAGCTCATTTTCTTTTGAATATTTCAGATCATCAGAAACGGTTTATGTATTTTTATCATCCCTTGAAAAAATTTTGTAGGCCGGCCAACTCTGGAAAGGATCATCAGTGTTCCTAGCTTCTTCTGTTTGTGGTCACAGTGGTTTGCTGGAAACGGCTTTGTGACACTTTCAAGATGGACAGATACTAATGACTCTGTTTATGGCTTCTTAGTTTTTTGAGATCCTCTTGCCTCTAGCCTAAATAAAAATAAGCATCCCAGAAAATAAACGTTTAATAACAGTTCTAATTCAGGCTGGAATGAGGACTAAACGCTCAAAGGTGCAGGGTTCAGAAAAACAAGTGTTGCCTAAGCGACAACAGAGACGGCATTCAAAGGAGATGACCGTGAACACAAGAATGAGGAATCAAGTCTGGTGTGTTCATGTCAGGTCCATGCAATTACATAAGACTTAGGAAAGAAAAAAAGGCGTGGCTGATCCAGCTACATGAAGAAAGGTAGAAAGGCCAACACATTCTTTCTACAGAAGATAAAAACAGGTTTTATTTACATTCCACATATGCATTTTCCCAGGAATGAGTGCAGCAACTGACAGAGAAACATTGTTTACTACTTCATGTAGAATCAAGAAGAGACTAATGGAGGAGGGGATTACTTTTCACATGTAAAGTGGCTTGAATTTCTTTTACCCCTTAAATGAATGAAATCAATATTTTGGAGAATTATTTTCTGTATTTACTCAAGTGTTTAATATTTAATTTATTGATGATCTGAAACATCTAAATGCAACCAAAAAGGCAAAAAAAAAAAAAAAAAAAAAAATCTGTAAGGGCATAGATACTTTTTTCAGCACTGTAACTCAAGTTAATATAAATGTTTCCATCATAATAATATTCTGCATAATTATTGCATACATATATTTTTTAAACTGCAATAAACTTTGTATATAATTAACCTTTATTGTCCCACCTTATTTTAAAGGTGGGACAATAAACAAAAGTAAGAGTAAAAATGTCATGTTTTTTTTTTTTTTAGTGTAGATAATATGCAGTATTAATGTGCAACTCCAGCCGTTCCTGAGCAGACCATCACTCCTTTCCATCTAAGTCTGTGCACTCATTTGCTCACCCTGTGCTGACCTTGCAAGCTCCAATATCAGTCAAGTCAGCTTTCTCTGTTTCCTTTAGGCATTTTTGTGCTTCGTCAAGATGTATCATTTTACACAACTAAAACGTTTATGAATCCAAAAACGGCTTTAAAATGTTTCTAAATGCTTACCGCAAACTGGGGAGTCAGACATGCCTCAAGTCACAGCTTTTTAAGACTGCTTGGTCTCTAAAAATATCTCAAGATGCCGTTATGCAAGGTCAAGGACGATGTCATTCCTCCCAGTTTATATTGCTGTCTGTCGTCTTTCTCTCTTTCGCTTCGTCCACTGCTCCATGTAATGTCCCTCACCTTTATAACCCCCTTCTTACTGACTGGATGCTGCTGACCAATGCTCCCTTCCCCCCACTCACATAGCAAACTGACTACAGTGAAAGCCAGGATAGCACACGCATCACAACTGGCAGTCTGTTCATGCAGTCACGCTTTCAAAAGTTCGCACACAGAACATCCTAGAACAATTCGATGTCACTAGACTGTCGGTGACACGAGCACGAGCGTAACTCTCAGGCCGCACGACACATAGTGGGTAGAGCACAGCTAAATGTATGTGGGTGGGAGGGTGGTGGTGGGAGGTGAGGGAGGGTGCGGTCGGTCTAAAGGTTTCCTAAAATTATTTGTGAATTGGTTGAGCAGATGAATGTTCTCTAAATTCAGGATTTTCATTTGACAGCCATTGTCTTCTTGCACGTCATTTTATTTCAAAGTAAAAATAATACCTCTTTATATTGTCATTGATATATTTTTTATTAATTGAAGCATTACCATGAAATGCCAATAAAGAGGGAAGTCAGTGGGTGGTTGTTAGCCTTGTCCAAAACATCTTATTTGCAGAGTTCCTGCAACTGAGACACTTTGGAAACGATACCGGGGCGATATGCCAAATCTGTGGGGCCATTTCCTGTAGTCCAACGCTTGCTCAAGCCAGCAAACGTGAAGAATTAGTGTAACAGATCCTTTACTAATGAACTGAGCTATGAGAATGTGTGTAAGAGACAGACACTTTGAAATAGTAGTGATAATTCCTAATGATGCATGTAAGGAAACAGTACTGCAGATGAAAAATAACTAATTATAGCAATCGACAATCCAGGTCTTTTTTTTTTTTTTTTTTTTTTTTCCCGGGTTTTTGATTATTTAAAGGGAGGAACACACGTTTTTAAAATTTTAAACAT